CTCATCACTAATAGTCACAGCATACATGGCAGCAAGGATAGCATCAAAGTCAAGATCATAGATAGCTACACCTGCCCTAGACAGCTCTCCCCAGCGGGGGATCTCAGTAGCCTCCGGGAACTGGTGACGCCAAGCGTCCGTCAGGCGGCCAAAGCAGCGCTGGGTGGGGTGGGCTCCTCCACACTGCTCACCCGCGCGGTCGCCGGTGTGAAGGACGTAGGTGCACGGACCAAAACCCCCACAACGCTGACGCTGCGCATACCACTCACGGAGCTGCTGAGGGGGGGGATGTCCCGAGAACGCTGCTGCTGCTACTGCTGCTGGCGCTGACCACCACCGGAGCCACTCCGCTGCGAAGCGCCACCCCGACCAGCTCCACCTCCTCCACCACCGCCTCCTCCACCTCCGCCACCACCGCCGCCTCCGCTCCCACCGCTACCGCCTCCGCCGCCTCCGCCTCCACCGCTGCCACCGACACCTCCACCCCCGCCACCACTCCCACCGCCACCCCCACTCCCTCCGCCGCCTCCACCGCCACCTCCACCACCCCCGCTAGCTCCACCCGCGCCCTTGCTCCCCTTGCCCTTGCCAGAGCGGCGTCTCCCGCTAGGGGCAGACGCCGCACCGATCGACTCAAGACTAACGAGGTCGGCCGCAGCAGCAGAGGCGACAAAGGGCAACAGGGGGGAAGGGGAACACCCCTCAAAGATGGGGGTGCGAGGGTCACCACGAGAGGCTCCTACAGCGACTATGCTCTTCTCCGCTGCTAGGAGGGCCTTCTCTAGGAGGTCAACAGTGAGAGTGGTGAGACAGACTGAGAGGAAGTGGTCCCTGACTACACGAAGTGAGTCAGGGAGGCGGGTGACTATATAATAGAGAGTGATGTACATGGGGGGGGGGGGGGGGTTCTTGGCGCAGAACTCAGCAGGAAGCGCGGCGCGGTAGTGAGTATCACTAGTGCGGAGGTGCGTAATGAGGTCAGCGACTGTGGGAAAGGCAGCAAGGTCAGGGAAGAGGTACGGTAGCATGAGGCGGCTCAGTGCAGCAGTGGCAGGGGAAGAGTAGCGCGCAACTACAGCGTCGTACAAGGTCTGAGCACTCTTGTACTAACTAAAGTGCGCGCGCTCAGTGGTAGGCAGGTGGCGACGCACAGCAAGACGTGCAGCAGCGTCGCACGTGGCCCACTGAGAGCGAACAGTGGCATCAGCATCAGCAGCAGGGGCAGGAGAGGCGCCAGAGGTGAGGTCAAAGAGAGAGAGACTATCAGCCCTATCGCACTGTAAGTACAGCTGCAGGTCGTCGACCCAGACGTCAAAGTCAATGGCTCGACCCTCAGCGTCAAAAGCGAGGACACTAGGGGTAGCCATGACAACAGTAGACCAGCAGGTGAGGGCGGCGACGGGGCCGCAGCTGAGGGTGGCGACGGGGCCGCAAGTGAGGGCGGCGGGGCCGTAGGGGAGGGCGGCGATGGGCCGCAGGTGAGGGCGGCGACGGGGCCGCAACTGAGGGCGGCGACGGGGCCGCAAGTGAGAGCGGCGGGGCCGCAAGTGAGGGCGGCGGGGCCGCAAGGGAGGGCGGCGACGGGCCGCAGGTGAGGGCGGCGACGGGGCCGCAACTGAGGGCGGCGGGGCCGCAACAGAGGGCGGCGGGGCCGCAAGTGAGGGCGGCGGGGCCGCAAGGGAGGACGGCGACGGGCCGCTTAGGGTGGCGACGGGCCGAGTGAGGGCCGCGACGGGCCGTAAGGGCAGCGCAAGGGAGGCCGCTAGGGGCGACGCGACGTGGCCGCTAGGGCGGTTCGACTAAGGCAGAGAGGGGAGAGCGACTCGGGGAGCGCGCTCCGGGCAGGAAAATTTTTCGATGTGGTGGGCCCTAGGCATAGTTCCCACGAGGGAACCTGCTCGATACCATGAGAAAGTTAGAACGAGAATGAAATGACTAAGTGAAAGTTGGGTACAAATACAACCCTAGAAAGCTGTACCCCATATGTGCTACCCCACTATAGCCTACAAAAGCTATGTCATACAAATCTGACAAAGGGCCGTAAGGGGCTGTAAGGGCAGCGCGAGGGGCCGTAAGGGCAGTGCGAGGGGGGCCGACGGGCGGCGCGAGAGTCCGTAAGGGGCCGTAAGGGCGGCGCGAGGGGCCGTAGAGGGCAGCACGAGGGGCTGTAAGGGCGGCGTAAGGGGCCGTGAGAGGGGCCGCTAAGGGCGACGCGAAGGGGCCGTGAGAGGGCGCGACAGTAGGGAGGGCACACAAAGCGCGACTCGGGTAGTAACGAAGCGCGCCCCGGGCAGGAAAAAAAAAACGTGGTGGGCCCTAGGAAGCATTCCCACTAGGGAACCTGCTCGATACCATGAAAAGAAACGAGGAATGAATGCATTGAGCAACATGAGGAGTACAAGTAGGAAACCATTAAGTGTTGTACCCCATATGAAGTAACCCAGTACAGCCTACTCAGACTATAGCATGTAAGCCTGACAGTTTTTGCTCTACCAGTAGAAGTGAAACCAGTGAACAACCTGCTCTTTTCGTGCCTTCCCCTCCATCCTCTCTAGTGCCTTGTATTTTTTCCCCGAATAATCCAAATGAATTTCTGCTGGTGCCTTGAAATTTCAAGATGGCCAAGGAATTTTGCCCTAAAAAATCAGAGCATTTCGGAGATTTTCCAAAAGTTACCCTTAGGGCTCAGGGTGCCCTAAACCATTGCACAAGCCTGACGCTGTCTGCCCGACGGTCCAGATGCTTTCGTAACCGTGCGATCCTTCGCGTCACTTCCGCCCTTTCGTCTTCAAGCCCGGTAGTGCGTGCTTCTTCGCTTGCTACAGCGAGGAGTGCACAGTAAAGTTTCAATAATTACTATTCGTACTGGATAAAGTATGGAAAGAACTCCAATAAACTTCATTTTTGCTAAATTTTTTGTATTATTAGTATTTAAGGTTATAATTAAATTTCCCTGGTCTCGAACAAATATGATATGCTTCCGTTGTAAAACTTCTGCATGCAACTAATTAGGCAACCATATAAGGATGTCGATTTAATACATTAAAATAACATCTCAGCACGCTATTAGGTGCCTAGATATGGTACCGTACGAAGTAAATATTGTTCCAAGTATAAAAGTTAGCCTCAGATCTATCAGGGTGTAATACATCAATCACGCAAACGTGTTGTCCTCATCAGGCCACGACACGTCTATCTCAGCATGAGTTGGAGTTCAGATGAGGTGATGCTCTCTGGTCGGCGAGTTCTCGAACCATCAAGCCACATGAACATCGAGAAAATACTAGACGTGCCCATTGACAAGTTGTTATGCTCTGTTAAATATTGTCGAGCGGTTTTGCTGCGTTCCGTTCGTAACTCTGTCTGGTCTTTACTTTCGTGCGTGTCTATTGTGTATTCACCCATTGAGCTAAAATGCTACCTATAGCATATACGAAGCGCGCAAGTAAAAAAAATCAGCTTAAACATTTGTGCTCTGAAAGTATGAATGTGAAAACCTGTTTATAATTTAAATGATATAATTTCTGAATTGCGGTAATTTTACTAATCATGCATTTAAGTGATATTTGCATATTTTAGACAGTTTTATGTTCTTTTTTGCAGATCATTAATATTCTCCAAATAAATTTGTTTTATTTACTGTAATTCGTAATATATATGTAACAATAAGGCAGTTTATCGTTATTTCCCAAAAAAATATAAATAATGAATTAACATTTTGTTCTTGTTAATATTAGTAGTAGTTTGTTTTCTAAAGGATAATATTCTAGAGTTAGGTAACAGTTTTTTACCTTATTTTACAAAATAAATATACTAAATTTGTGCAGATTTTGAAAGTAAAATATTGAAATATTACCCAATATTTATTTAAATATTATCTTCAAAATGTTCAAATATTTGTGCAAAAGCTAAGAATATGTTTTAAATTTCTAATGAGAAAATATGCTGGTATTGGTTTTAGATAATAATAACTATCATTAACAGTAAATCGTATTTTTTGTATAGCATTCTTTGCGTTTTTACTGAGTTATTAACATCTGTGAGCAGTTATTTGAGGCTGTTGGTGGATTGCGAGAAGAAGTTTCTTCTGTAGCACACCTGCCCCTTCTAAGGCAATAACCTCAGCAACTCGTGGCTGTCGAGTTTGAGCCATCACGGGTCGTGGAAACCTGTTTCATTATCATTTGTAGGATCTCAGACAATGTGCACCTATGCAATTTCGCCCGTTCCTACACAATCCAGCCTAAGAGCTTCCAACTGAACGAATTTCATAAACTGCGACGCGAACTCGTAGGTGACAGAACCCCGTTTGTGCCGAGCACGCCAGCAGAGGACATCGAGAACGTCTACGCCCGCATGCGCTGCTGCAAAGTGGACTTAATCACGCCTGCGGCTGGACGTTTTCTGGCTGGTGGTAACGCTGCGTGGCGCGGCCTCCACGCAACAGCAGACACCTTTCAAATAATTTGAAAGGTGTACGCCACGCTGCCTCGCGTATTATCGACGCCGTTTCGTAGTAGTCACTATGGCCATCGCCACGCGCTCCACCGTGCTACTCTTCGATTGGAGGAGAAATCCCAATGTCACGCTCTCGCCGTCTGCCAGTGCTGGTGCTAGGAGTAGCACTAAGAGTCGCACAACCACCAGCAGACTAGGCGGCAATGTGGTGTCAACAACTCCCAGTCGCCGCCGCGTGGAACCACCTCCGCCGCAGCCGCCACCGACGCCGCGGCTGCTACTGCTGGGTTCTCAATCTCCCACTGTGCGTATCGCGTAAATGTTTCCTTGCCGACTGTCGCACTCCTTGCGTCGTGACTGTCGTTCGTCCATCATGGGCTTTCCAACAAAAGGTCGTTTTTCCATGCTTGCTGTGATCCTCTTTCATCATAACATTTTCCACGGTTTTGTATAAACGCATCAATATAAGCAGCGTTGCGCTAAAGCTGTAATCTTCTTCCGCCCTGCCACGCGGCGTCTCTCCCCCGTGCTTTCCGCTGCAGAATTTTCGCGTTCGCGAGGTTAGGGGCAGCCGACCCACGCTCACTGTGATTTGCGGCTGGAGCTCGCTCGGCATCGATCGCGGGTGTGTCCGCTCTCACCGTGCAGAGCAATTCGGTGCTTCTACGCGCCTAATTCTGGCTTCAGGAGCGCCTCGGGATACAGCTGGAGCTGCTGGGGCGACTCGGGCTGCTGGGGCAGTTGGAGCGGCGGGCACGCCTGATCATATTGATGGTCGAGTCGACTCCCTTGGTGAATCCAAGAGAAGCGGTGACGCCTTGTCGGTTGAGGATCCTACTAGGAGCCTTACAAGTACTGCTGATAGTACCACTGCTAGCAGTGGTGCGAGTATTCTGGTGCAGGGGTTGGAAGGGCGGTCGTGGGCGGAGAAGGCGCAGCATGCGCGCAAGCTGCTGGCGGGGCTGCTGGCGCTCTCCCGCCCGCACAACTTCCTGCCCTCCGTGCTGCTCGTGCTCCTCGGCGCGTTCCTCGGCGCCTCATCCGCGGGCAGCGGCACCGCGGCCATGACTGCTGCCACTGCCAACATCAGCGCTACAGCTGCTGCTGCTGCTAAAACCGCTGCTGCTACAGCCGCCACCGCAGCAACTGCCACCGCTGCAGCGAGCCTCCCTGCCCTTCCCGTGTGGCTGTCCCCGCGGGTGCTGCTGGTGGCGGCGCTATCCGGCAGCATCGCGCTGGCGTCAATGGTGGTCAACGACGTGTTTGACTGGCAGATCGGGTCTGACCGAGTCAACTCGCCCGCCAAGCCCCTCGTGTCTGGCGCCGTGCACCCATATGATGTACGTGCAAGAGAGGCGAGGGATGCGGAGGAAAGAGAGTACTACTCTTGTTCCCCGATGTCTCCCACTATCCACCCCTTCCAAGTCGCAGCTAGCAGCAGGCTGCCTGTACGCCCGCATAGTCCGTGCAGCATCAAGTTACAGACGAGAGTACTACTCTTTGTTTCCAGCTCTGCACACCCCATCATAACAGGATCTACAGGTCCCTGCTCATTTTCCCTACCACCTCTCTTCTAATCCGCCCTTTCTCGTTCCTGTTTTCTTTTGGTTCATCCCAGGCGGAGCTAGCTGCAGGCTGCCTCTACTCCCTCATAGTCCTCGCAGCCTGTCAGCTGGAGCCCTTGCCTCTCCGCATGCTGGTGGCGGGGGCGGCAGTCGGCACGTATCTCTACACCCCGTTCCTCAAGAGAATCACTCTGGTTAAGAACGTCTCAGTCGCTGCAATCATTGCGTCGTCGTTGCTTGCTGGCGCTCTTGCTGCTGGAGGTATGCTGTCCTTTCCAACCTCGTGCCCTTCTCTCTCTCCACCTCTCTCACAGCATTCGATTTGTGGGAATCCGCCTGGTGGTAGCAGTGCATGCCGCTGGTCCCTATGGCTTGGTTCAGTGTGTCATCTGGCTAAATGGTTCTTTTCCTGTGTCAGTAGCCGTTGCCGCCTCCGCCACCCTCTCCACAGTCACTCCTTCACCCTCCCCTTTCACCCATTCCTTTCTCAACCCTTCCCTTCACCCTGTCCCTTCGGCCCGTGTTCCTTGCATCCCATTCTACCTTACCTGACTTCCCTTGATTTCCTACCTTGCACCATCCCCTCTCCACCCCCCAGCCTCTTTCTCCGCCCTCTACCGTGCGTCAGGCGCCTTTCTCTTCCTCTTCCACGCGCTGCTGTATCGAGAGGTGCTTATGGACGTCGCTGACGTCACTGGTGACGCCAGCGCAGGCGTGCCGACGCTTGCGGTGCGGCTGGGGAAGCAGAGGGCGGTGATGGTGGCGTGCGGCATGCTGGTTCTGGCGCATGCTGCAGGGGTGAGTGCTGGGGTTTGCTGCAATGTGCTGTGTTGAAATGTGGTGTGTTGTGATGTTATGCAGTATCATGGCATGGCATGTGTTCTGATCTGACTGCTACAACTTGTGCAAAACGAGTATGTGATGTGACTTGATATGCCATGACGTGTGAAACAGTACGTGCTGTTGCTACATGGTCAGCAATATATCATGGAGGAAAGCTTGTCAGCGACAGTTGAGCTTCAACTCTTATACCAACCCATCCACCCAGCACCAGGCAGTTCCAAATAAGTTTTCCAATTTCAACACCTGCCTCTGCTTCCTCCAACCCATTCCACTTCAGGCTTTCCTCGCGAGGCGTTCTCCTGCCCTTGTTCTACTCGCATCTATCTGCCTCCTCCCTCTCTACGCACACACTATCCCCCTACTGTCGCTCCACAGCCACACGCGCGACTCACTACTTTCTCCCCTGGCTCATGGCGAGCCACACGCACCAACCTCTCCGTCTTCGTCGACGTACTTACGCAATGACATCCAAGACCGTCACAGCAAAGAGAATTCAATATTACTAACTGAAGTCGACCATTCATCAGGTTTCGAAGTCCGTGCGAGTGTGCTGGAGAGTGCGCAGGTGGGTGGGATGGAGGCGTCTGAGAGGATGAAAGAGTCCGAAGACATTGAGCAGAAGAAGTTGAGCCGCTTGATTGACATGTCTATGGTTTTCATTGGTGCTGCCCTTCTGGCCTTCTCAGCTGCTACAGTTGGCTTTGGAACTATCCTTGCATGACATGATGATGGGAGCACATGAGCATGTACATATCTTTTTGTAGTGTACATATATTTATTTCATGCAGATGGTTCAAGGCAGCATAGGTGATTTTTGTTCAGATTGAAAGTGTGCTTCTTGTTGCCAGTTTATAAGGAAACTTGAAACGTTAGGTCACATAAGGTAGTTGCCGATGCCATATTTTCCCATTTGTATTGGAATATTTTCCCATCTGTATTGGAATATTTTCCCATTTGTATTTGTATTTGTATTTGTTATGTCTACATCCATATTGTCGTTTTAGCTTGACGCGATGCTCAATCGTGGTCAACAACATTAGGTATGATACGAGGGCCGTACTCACCTTCTTGACTCGGCAAGAATGCAACATTCAGAAAACGGTTACAGCCAAGGGTTACAATTGTTTCAGCCAATTGATAGCCTGCACGAGTGATTTCTAAATTCGCAACCTTTCCGACAGCAATTAATTGACCCTAGCTTTCATGAATTGTTCCCGCCGAATACTTCCGCATCATCCTTCAGCGACTGATCGCGTTTCATGAAGTTCCATTTGTTCGACTCCCCACCGCATTCCCCGCTCCCTTAGCGACCTCGTTCTTGGCCACACTACCGCGTTCCACGACGACCCTCCTCGCCTCGCAGCGGCGCGGTAGCGTCGAGCTCGCACTTCAAGTAGCCAGCCCCCAGCAGCCATGGAGCCTCATGAAGTGCCACTTCTGTGCCATAACCCCCTGTTGTGCCATCTCGCCGTCGCTCTCTCTGCGATACAATCTCGCCAACCCTCATTCTGCCCAACCATCATCGCCGAATCTGCTCCCATATCTCGGCAACCACTGCCATCCACGATCGCTACCGTCACCTGCGCTGCGCCTCTCCGCCGCGCCTCTCCGCTGCGCCGATCGGTTTTCCGCTCCGCTGGACACGATGGGAAGCTTTCCGGCGCTGCTCGCGCTCGCCCTCATTCTCGGTCAGTCCACCCGCTGTGCCGCCCAGCGAGTCCTTTCTGCCTGTGAGCGTGCCCGTCGCCGGTGTGCTTTCGTCCGACGGAGTCCGTCCCTTGCCTCGTTGTGCCCACCGGCCCCAAGTCACATCGTCGCAGCCTGGCGCTCTCCGCGTCACTCGACCTGCTCGAGAGCGCCATTCGCGTTCGCGCGGGGCCGCTGAATCCGACTGGAGGGCGATTGAAGCGGGCCGACCAGTGCAGACCGCACCAATCAACTCCCCTCCCTGCTCTGCCCCCCTCTCGTCCCTGCTCGCCCTCCCCTGCAGCCAATGACGTCATCCGCGGGGCGTCAGGCCAAGACGTGTCCGCTACGTCGCCGCCGGCGGTGGCGACGGCGATCGCGGTGGGCAGCACCTTCGCGTTCAACTTCACGGCGGCGCGCTGCACCAACCTGCCCACCACCGCCTCCTCCGCCACCGTGCAGTGGACGTCCGCCGCCGCCGCCACCGCCAATGTGCCCGCGTGCGAGAACGTCACCTTCCTGACCGGCCCTGATTGCACCGGGGTCGTCGCGTCTTCCGTCGCCAAGCCTTCAAGGTCAGCGTCGCGCCTGTACCATGGCGTGGGGTGGGTGGGGTGGAGAGGGGTACAGTGCGGCCTGTGCTATAACACCTCCGACGCCGTGATTCGACTCAAAACAAGGGTGCTGTTTTAGGCGCAGCGGAACGCCATAAATCGACTAACGAGTTCCCAGTGATAAATTGTCGCGATGTAATCTATAATGAAAATGAGACATCGTGACTAACTAGTTGTTCTTCTCTCGCGTGCTTCCTGTGCCTCCCCTGCCCTCCACAGCCCGACCACCTACACCAGCCGAGCCATTCTCCCCTATCCGTATCCACTGTCGGCTCTCTGCTTTATCGGTACGCTCCTCGTCGCTCTCTCTCCAGTACTTGCCCAGTCAGTAGAGTGCCTCTGTCATTGCCGGTCAGTAGAGTGCCAGTCATTTCAATAGAGTGCCAGTCAATTCAAGCAGCGCTACAAGCGCTGCAGCAAGGGCATCGGCAACTGCAGAGGGTTGCAGTGCAGCATTGCCACGGAAGGTATGGCGGGGTCCCTCCCTCCGCCAGAGCAGCTTCACTCGCTGCCTCGTGCCCCACCAGCGAGTCCTCCTCTCGCTCTCACACCGGATTCACCACTCCCTCACCTCCCCTTGCTGCTCTGCCCGCGCCCTCCCTGCCCTCCCTGCATCGCATCACGTGGCGTCATCTCATCCCGGGTGCATGGCATCAGCGGGAGACGCTGCGTGGTGGCCCACGGAGGTGGCGGCCAGGGTGGTGGTGGCGACGGCTGTGGCAGTGGGCGCCTACAAGGTCGCCTTCGACCCCTCCTCGCGCTGCGCCACCGTGCCCGCCGGCACGGCGCCCGCTGGCGTGAGCACGCCTGTGGGCGTGCAGTGGGGGAGCAGCAGCAGCTTGGCGGGGGGCGGGGCGAGTGCGCGGTGCAACGTGGTGTCGTTCTTCCCGGGCGCCAGCTGCGACGGCGCCGTCATGCAGCACTTGTACTCCTTCTCCAGGTCCGTGCGCGTGCACATGCGAGGCCGTGCAGGATAGTGCATGTGGAGGTGGGAGATGCGCAGGAGGCAAGGCAGGGCACGGGTGGAGGACGGGGGGAGGGGAAAGAGAAGGGAAAGGGAAGGGGGGGGGGGGGAGGGAGAGGATGGCATGGGTGGGATTGAACGGGGTGAAATTCGATGGGGATCAGAGAAGGTAGGGAACCGTGACGGGATGCGATGCGATGGTAATGAGTAGAGGATCACGGCTCAAAGTTGTGTTTTGCCTTGTGTTCTCTTCTTCCCCCAAGCAGCAGCAACCCCACGTCCATCACACCTTCAACATACAGCCCACTGACAACAGTTCGCTGCAAATTCTGTACGCCCCTTGCTGCCTTTCGCCCCTTGCTGCCTTTCGCCCCTTGCTGCCTTTCGCCCCTTGCTGCCTTTCGCCCCTTGCTGCCTTTCGCCCCTTGCTGCCTTTCGCCCCTTGCTGCCTTTCACCCCTTGCTGCCTTTCACCCCTTGCTGCCTTCCGCCCCTTGCTGCCGTTCACGCCATGCTGTCCACCCCAGGCTGCCTTTTTCCATTGAACTACTAACCTTGTGTCTATCGCTGTCAGAGGGTCTGATTTGATCTTGTTTGTATGCTTGGGTGTGCAGCCTCCAACACGGCATGCAAGTACGCCACATGCCCCGCCAACTCGGTGTGTGCGGAGACAAACGACAACAGGGGAGCCACCTGCCGCTGCCAGGAGGGCTTTATTGGCGTCAACGGCACCTGCCAAGGTACAAGGCTGTGGATTTGCGCAGAATGTAGGGATGGTACTCACAGTGGGGCCAGTATCTTGCTCTTGTTGGACAATGGACGCGAAACCTTTCAAGATATCAGTGCATTCTACTGATCGTTTTCCCTGTTCTTCTGGGTGAACCCCCTCCCACTACAGACAAGTGCAATCTCGACTGCATGGCCAATTCCCGTTGTGTGAGGGACGCGTCTGGGGCCCCGGATTGTGTGTGCAACAAGGGATTTCAGTATTCTCCTGACAGCAATACCTGCGTTGGTGAGTTGCGTGTGGTGTGACAGCGACTTTTCAACACTGAGTTCAAACCCCAGTTTCCACAAACTGGTCCAACAAGGGACCTTGAGTCGACTCAAAGTGACTTTTGAGGTGAAAACAAACTGGACCAACAAGGCGTAATGTGCTTGTTTTGAACTCTTCTCGGCCCAGCTTAACGACCTGTCAAGAATGCGCTTTGTGCTTCTGTTGAGCGAATGAATGAATTTGTTCCCAATCGCACTATCCTTGCTTGTTACTGTGGCCCCTCTCTTCCATTGCAGACAAGTGCGATTCGGTGAATTGTGGGCCCAACGGCAAGTGCATTAAGGATGCAGATGGAAATCCTACCTGTGCTTGCAACGCTGGCTTCCAGATGCCTCCCGACAACCTCACTTGCGTTGGTGAGTTGCACGCACTGGCACGTGGAGCGAGCAAGTGATTGATTGGTGGGCCTGGAGTGCATGCATGCATCTGCTCTGCAAGCACTGCATCACTGTGCCCTGGTTCATTCGGCCTACCACTCATTTCATGTGCTCTGGTTGGAACTTGCTCCAATGAGCGGAGTGGCGGCACTCCTTGCCAATGTATTCACTTCATTTCTCATGGAACGGAGGTGGTATGAATCATTGCTCATTTCCTCCTCCCACCACCTCCTTTGCATTCTTTAACCACCTTACCTCCGTCCTTCTTCCTAATCTACCACCTGTATTGCAGACAAGTGTGAGTTGGTGACATGCGCTGCCAACTCCCGCTGCAGCAAGGATGCAAGTGGGAACACAACTTGCGATTGCGTCACCGGCTTCGAGAGGCTTCCGGGCAACGACACTTGCGTTGGTTAGTTGCTGCACTTGCTTAGTCGTCCGTTTAAGTAGGACACAACATTGATGGACGTGGCATGTCACGCTGGCCTGCACCCTACAATTGGGTACAGCGAAATTACGATAAATTGTGAAAGGCTTATTGGGAGTGAGGTCGAATTACTGGTCGCATTTACTGGTCGAATTTACTGATCAGGAAGATTCGACCTGCCTTTGGCTTCTGAAATCATCAGCATGATGCTCACATTGTATACCTGAATCCTTCTTGTCTATGGACCTGCCTTTGGTTTATGGATGAGAAACCTCTATCGTTCTTGTCTATATGTGTATCCTTTTCATTGCAGACAAGTGCGCTTCAGTGAATTGCCAGCCCAACAGCACGTGCAAGAAGGATGCAAACGGAATTCCAGCCTGCAGTTGCAACACTGGCTTCACGCTGTCTTCTGACAAGCTCACTTGCATTGGTGAGCTCAGTTACTTGATTAGCTCCACTCAATCACTCGTCCTGACTAGCGACCTAACAAAGGCTTAAGTGGTGGAAGTCGCATGTTATGATGGCATGCACTTACGAATAGGGGGATGAAGGATGCGAACGGAAATCCGCTTTGTAACTGCACCATCGGCTTCAAGCCGTCTTCAAACAACCTCACTTGCATTGGTGAGTTGGAGGAGTGCAAGCGGCTGTTTTGAGTTTGTAACCTGTCCTTGGGAGTTGCTTGCACTTGAGTTTGGAGTTACAATGCTCTCACCACTTCATTGTCTTATCTTATCCGCCCCTTAACCTTGTTGCAGCAGTTATTGATTGCATGCATAGGCAAAAAAACAAAAATTAGCAGATTTTATCGTTTTCTCAGATGAAGTATCTTCCTCCTGACCTTGGTTGGCTTTCTGCAGACAACTGTTTTGGGAGGACTTGCGGTTTGAACGGCAAGTGCGTGAAGAAGGAAAACGGAGATCCAACCTGCGCGTGCAACACGGGCTACCAGATGGACACTGACAGATTCTTGTGCATCAGTGAGTTGACAAGTGCAAGTGACAAAGTTGCCCTTCTGCGGGTGCAAGTTCGTGAGTCAAACTTTGTTTATATTGGCAGCTCCCCAGCTGTGCTGCAATCAACCCCTCATATTCCACCTGAATTTCTCTCTTCTTTCGAGCATCATCCTCCCCACCCCTCTCCACCCCACCCCCTCCTCAACCCCACCCTTCTGTGCATCGCATCAGCAACGCAGTGCTACGCGTTAGGCTGTGGACTAGATGGGGAATGCGTGAATGACATCAATGGGAGACTTTCGTGCAGATGGAGTAAGCCCAACACACCAAACTCATTGGCTCTTTCTTTTTCCACAAGCTCTATCACAAACCCTTTCGTATAAATCTGCCCACCTGCCATTCTCATCCCGCCACTTCTCTGCCCTCCCTTGCATCTCCCGTGCTTGCTGTGTTGCTCAGACTCACCCTGTGGCAGCTGCCCCACTGGAGCCGTCTGCAAAACCATCCAGGTCACAACTCAGGTTACTGCTACTGTGCCATACTGCCAGTGTCGTTCCGGCTATGGCATGACCTCAACAGGCTGCATCTACGGTAAGACCTAGTAGCTCTCCTTCTACCCTTCTCTGCTGGTCACACGCCGCATCCTTTGACTCGGCAACCGAGAGCTGATGAGGTCGAGTGAAGGTGAGGGACAATGAAGCTTCGGTTTGCAGAAAAAAAACTATAAGGGTGTTATTCAGAAGTGAAACAGTAGTACAAGCGTTCAGCGGTCATCTGAGCTATGTGTCAGGGTCTTGCTTTCACCTTCCTTTCATATCCCGACTTCATAGCATCATTGTCACAGGATCGATTTCTCTATATTCCTTGTATGTGTCCCCATGCTGCAAACAAGCAAGTCCTCGATCCTGGACAGTGTTTAAAAAACTGTCAGGTTTTTGCTTTCTCCTACATAGCATCATGACCCTTCTCTCACTGCATAGCAGCATGACCCTTCTCTCACTCCATAGCATCTCTCCTATCCTTTTCCCACATCTCCCCTGCTGATTCTGCACCATTCGCAGGTGCACCTGACCAAGTGATTCCCTACAGCATCACGCTCTTCAAGGATCGTACCGCCGCTGGCAACGCATCCAAGCCCTATACCTTCCGCTTGAAATACGGCTGCACTCAGTTTCCAGAGGGGCTGGCTGGAAATTTCAAGACTTGGTACGAAGTGGATTACATCAATAATGCTCTCGGTTGTCGCGTTTGGCGATATTACACGACGGATAACTGCACCTCGAGCCCTGCGCGGAGTGGAACCATTTACGCTACAACGATGTATGCAAATGCATATAGGTGAGTTGCCAGCTGCAAATATCTTTCCCATTCTGCATTATTATTTCAAAATTGTTCAATCTGAGTTGATATATACTTCCATATGCTGTGCTCGCCCTGTCACCCTGTGCTCAATGCTGTATCTACTCTATCCTTCCTCTGTGTGGACTACCAGGGATAGTGCGACTCCCTTACCAATCCGCTCTTGGTGGTGCGGTAGCTGATTCTCTTTGCTGTCCGCTTTTTGTTGGGATGAGAAGGCCCTTAGGATCGTTTCAAGGCTAAGACCCTGAATAGTGATGTAATTGCGGAAGCGATCTTAGTGAACTGGTTGAACCACCTTGCGCTAGTGTGAGAGCAAGATGAATTGATTATAGCAAAGTAATGGTACAAGGCTTTATATGGTTACAAGGAATATGAAAGGAATTTAACTAACTGTTGCTGTTGCTGTTGTTGGAAACAATCGTTCCTAAGCGCCTCTGTCGTGTCGAAACACTAAGGCACAAGCGAAGCAGAGCATATCGAGGCACCAGCAAGTCAACCCTCGGAGGTTGAAGTAACCGCTGGAGGTTACGCGAAAGTCAAAGGTCAGCGACCTTTGACCTGACAAATGCAGCGCGACAGCAAGGACACACAACTGACTCCTTACAGATTAGTTGCCAGAGTCGTCACCGTTGTTGGGAACAAATAGTCTTAAGCGCCTCTGTCGTGTCGAAACTCAAGACACAAGCGAAGCAGCTCAAATCGAAGCACCGCGAGTCAACCCTCGGAGGTTAACGTAACTGCTGGAGGTTACGAGAAAGTCAAAGGTCAGCGACCTTTGATCTGACGCAGCGCGACAGCAAGGACACACAACTGACTCGACATTGAGCAGTTGCCCGAGTCGCACTGTATCGAACAGCAACAGTAAAACAGTTACAATTATGTCTCTTCATATTCTCTGTACTCATATATATATTCCTGTATCTCTTTGCTTTAATCAACTTACTTTGCCCTCACATACTAGCGCAAGGTGGTTCAAGGACTTTATTCAAACGCTTCCGCTACTACCGTATGGCCCCGGATATAAGCGCAGGCCTATGTTAAGCGCATGCGCTTATATCTGGAGCAATGCGCTTATGGCCGGTCCTCAATTATAAGCGCACCCCCTGTAAAACCTTGACTTATTATAAGCGCATCAATAATTCTACTATTAAATCCTGTTTAATACAGTAAAGATTTCCCTTTTTGCAGCGAGTCCAGATCCGTTCCTACTTGTTTGACTCGCTCGAGGGCGAGCGATTCGCAGGAGAAGCGAAACGGCGTGAAGCTGACTGACTGACACCACATCGTTGGGAGGGGGGGGAGGGAAGATGGGCGCTGGAAACGACTGTCCTGTGCGTTGTGCGAGCGAATAAGGGGCAGGCGAGGGGGCTCGGGAACGACTGTGCCTCTGCGCTGCGATCAAGCGACTCCGTGCGACTGGCTCGTACATTGGTTCGGGGCGAGCTTGACACATCCCTCTGCGTTGTGACGTGTCCTTGCCCCTGTGCGGCGGCTGAAATCGCCCTCGCGCGATTCTCTGATGTGGGACGCCGTAATGTTCTGATTCGATTGAAATTGCACGACAGAGATGTACATTTTGGTGAATTTAAAACACATTTATGTAATTGTCATTTTATAAGCGCATGCGCTTATAAATCTGACTCAATTATAAGCGCACCCCCCCAAAAAACAATGTTTTATTATAAGCGCAGGTGCGCTTCTATCCGGGGTATTACGATACCTCATTTACTTAGACTTTAACTCTACTAAAGATCCTAGGGCGTTCAGCCCAACATGGAATGAGAGCTGGTTAGAGTTAAAAATTTCTCTTCAACACTTAATACATCAAGAAGACATGTCTGCTAGAAAGGAGAGGAGCTCCTCCAACGGCTCTCCCGGTACTACCCCTACTCCACCTCCTGCCTCTGGCCTACTGACAGAGGAAGGGACAACAACTAGACCAGCAGCTGGGTCTACGGAAACACCCGCAAACCAAGGCGCGGGCTTCGATCCAAGTATGATGGAGAAATTCTTCTCCTTCATGTCCTTCTACGAGCAGCATCAGCAAGGAGTACCTGCACAATCAAACAACAGCAACAACAACAACAACGTGACGCCCATGAGTCTCGATGGCTCATCCTACGCACGCGGGAATCAACATCAACAACCTACCTTCGCTCCGTACGAGCCCCAGCGCGGCTCCGTCAGCTTCATGCCGCAACCACAACCTGCACCGGGACAAGAAAGAGCACTGGACGCACTACAAGTTCAGTCGCAATTCGCACATGTTCTAAAACTACAAACGACAAAACCTTTCGACGGGAAGGATTTCTTTACCTGGTCGTTCGAATTCGAGCTGATGATGGAAGGAGCGCAGATCCTTGGCTTCTTCGACGGGTCCCTGCCATATCCAACAAACGGCACACAGTATGAGAAGCAGCAGTACACCTATCAATCGATGATGGCGTACACAATACTACTGAGGAACATCACCCCGACTCAACAGCAGAACATAAGGACTTACCGAGGTTACGGTAACTCCGCGGAGCTCGCGTACAACCACTTGAAGAACCTGTATCAAGCAACAGACAATGTAAACCAAAGCCGGTTAATGGCGCAGCTGACAACAATCGAAATGAAACCAGGCGAGAAGGGCATGGCATATATCAGTCGCTGCCGCGAACTGCGCGACAAGCTTCTTCGATGTGGAGGATCGATTTCAGAAGACGCCTTTGTCACGGTTGTCATCGGTGGTCTTGGCCCTCACTGGCGCTCCACTCGCGCCATATTACGGGCACACGGGAGAATCTCCGAAGCAGCACTCTGCGCCGAAATCCATGCTGAACAGCAGGACATGGACCTGCAAGAAGAACGACATAAGAAGAAAACGTCAGTACCAGAGTTCGCGTTTCACACCCAGCGACGCTACAACAACAACAATCGGCAGCAACAACAATTGAAGCCAGTACCTCCGTTTTGCCATATCTGCAAGACTTCAGGGCATCCTCGTACGCACTGCCCGTATCGCCAGCAATCGACAACACCACAGCAACAACTTCGGCCTTCAAGCTCCCAAGTCACTTCAACGCAAGCAACTCCCACGACAAAGATTCAAACCTCAACGACTCCAACAGGACAACCTGCACAAGGAGCAAGAAACATCGTCAACTGCATGGCAAAGACAACAGACTCCTGCATCACCGAATCACCGCCGCACTACTCACCAAAAGAACGACTTGACAAAACCACACCTCGCCGCGAGTCACTTCAGCCGAACCCGACATACGCCGCCATCGCTCAAAGCGAGCCATCCGGAAGAGACACTTGGTTCTTGGACAGTTGCTGCGGACAACACATGTGCTCCTCAGGACGTTTCGTTCAACGCAAGCACCGACTTCAACGAGAAGTCGTCATCACCATCGCCAATAATCAGAACCTGCGAACAAGACGACAAGGCATAGTACAGCTTCAGTCACGGGAGACGAGCGTCGTACTACAAATGTCGAAAGTCCTAATAGTAGAGGGACTCGGCTGCAACTTACTGAGCGTCAGTCAGCTGATGGCGAAAGGCATACACCAGGAAGCCGACAGCACCACCCAGGAGTTCAAACTGTACCACGGGAAGGGCGGCCTCTACATCGGAAAGGCGGTTCTGAAGAATAACGTCTTTGTCCTTAACTTCGTCCCAGACCAGGGCACCGCAGACAGCGACGCCATTGTGAACTTCGCCGACTGGACGCACCTTCGAGATCTTGATCCAGACTTCAGCCCGGAAGGCTTCTGGTACTCGCATACCATCCCTGAAGCAGAACGAACACACGCGTTAGCAACAATTCAACATCCGGCAGCAGCAGAGACAACATCGGCAGCAGCAGAAGCAGCAGAGACAACATCGGCAGCAGCAGAAACATCATCGGCAGTAGCAGAACCATCGTCAGCGACACCAGTTCTCATTGACGAAGCACCACCAACACTCGCACAGCAGCTGAACCCAACTCAACGAGAAGTCCACAGAAGCGCAAACTTCGTCGCCAGCTTCTACTCCAACTCCGATGCGTATCGACGCTCACCCGGACACCGCGCCTCCGAAGACATCTGGCACGCACGCATGGGACATCCAAGCAACACCGTGTTAAATAATACAATAAGAGCAGGAGTCCTAGACAAGGATTCATTACTACTACCCGACGGCAGAGAACTTCAACGGGCACAAGGAACTTGCCTCACCTGCCCCGAAGCCGACTTACCACATCGACCGTTTACTCCTCACCACAACCCGAGCGCACCCGCGTACGCACCACTCGAGAAGGTGTACAGCGATATTCTCTTCAATCGAGAACCAGGACAAGTTACTTACAACTACACGATAACCTTCATCGACGCCGCCACTCGATACGTCTGGCACCTAAACCTACCCAGCCGCGACATGGCACTCGCAGCGTTCGCCGCCTGGCTACCAGTAGCAGAGAGAGAGTCGGGAGCACAGCTGAAAAGCTTCCAGTCAGACGGAGGAGGAGAATACACCTCTTAGCGCTTCAAGCAGTACCTGGCGGAAAGAGGAATCAAGCAGCTCCTCTCCCTTCCCTACGCCCATCAGCAGCAAGGTGTCGCAGAAAGAATGAACAGGACTCTGCAGAACAGCATGCGCAAACTGCTACGTGGCATGCGGCTACCCAACCACCAGTGGCCTGCAGCAATGGACCACGCTTTCATGCTGCACAACTTGATGTCGTCGTCCTCTTTTCCGAACAACGCATCACCGCATTTGCTGTGGACAGGGAAACAGGGCAGCACAAAAATGTTACGAGTTTTCGGGTGCATGGTACAGTATCGACCCCCCGCAGCACGAGCGGGAAGATTTTCACAACGCGCACAATGGGGACTACACCTCGGCATCGAAAAGAATTACAACGCGTGGAAAATCTTCGACGTCCACTCCAAGGAAATAGTAGCAGCACGTGACGTGATCTTCTACGAACGACTCACGCTTCAGACGTACCTCGCCAACTTGCACGAAAATCAGGACCCCACAGGTGGCTTTCGTGGTGACCGAGCCTTCGCATCAGCAGCGGACGAAGCAGACTGGGACGAGCAGAACGTCGACAACGCATCAGAAGAAGTCGGACCTCTACCAGTCTGCTCCGTCAACGTCCCCATGGACGAAGAAAATCCTCGCGAAAGTGCCAACGCCGAAGTCTTC